ATAGAGAGGAGAGAGAGAGATGATTTACATATATTTTGATTATTAGTTTTTCCTTTTAAAGCCTTGTCTAATACATGAGCTCTCTAAATGTTAATGTTCTTATTTTAAAAAGAAAAAGTTTTGGTAGGTAATATTTAAATATTAATGTTTTTATTTTAAAAAGAAAAGAATTTTTGAATATCATATCAAAGTACACATTTTCAAATGTTATAAATATTAAATTATGTATTTTCGAATTATAAATATAAGAGGACATTGTATTTAATAGTTAAATACTGGAAGTCTTGAACGTTTTCGCATGCTTTTAGACAATGAATTATTTTAAAAGAGCATAATTTTTTGTTTGACCCGAAACGGCGTCGTTCATGTGCTAGAATCTTTAGGCTCTATCTCTCATTGTCATTGGAGTCTTTACAAAAACCTCTCTGTAGACTCTAGAGAGAGACAAAGAAACAAAACAAAGCAAAGCAAGAACTGAACTGAAGAAAGTCTTCAAAACAGTGAAAGTAAAAGTTAAAAAAAACAATTAAACATAAACAACCAACCAAACCCTTGCCGTGCTCCAGAAGTTCTACTGCAGAGCAGAAGCACAAGGCAGGAGAAGAGGAGGGGCATTCCTGTAATTTCCAAGTCCATCCATGTTCGTCTTCATCCACAGCAGTCCCACCGGAATCCAACTCGGCGGTGGCGGATTCTGGTTGGGATTAACACCGCCGTCAAGTTCAGCCGTCGCTTTCACGGCACTCGCTGGTCTCGCCTTGGTCGCCGCCGTGTACTTCACTTCCACTAGGTAAATGACAAAGAACAAACCCACTCAAGTTACTCTCGAACCTTAGTAGTTGATAGAAGACTCAAACCAAAAAAATTTAAAATTTTTAAAAAATAGAAGTAGTAGATGAAAGCTCTAAAACGAAGTCACACTACGTCGTCGTCTTCAAATAACTCGTCACCGTCGTCTTCGTCGTCGTCATCATCTTCATGGGTTCATTTGCGTTCGGTTCTATTCGTTGTTACTTCTTCCTCACCAGCTTCTTGTTCTTCTTCTGATCGGTGAGTCTCTTTCTCTCTCTCTTCTCTGTTTTGTTTCTTCATAAAATACTCGTTATATATATTTTTTGGTTTTATTTACTCTGATTTAGATCTTGATCTCATCCTTCAATTCTAAAATTCGTTTCACTTCCTAAAAACACTACTTGTTGGATCTAATTTAAGTGATACTACTGTGTCTATGTCTGCGCTACACGTGACTTGTTAAGCATTGGAAAATCTTAATCAGTAACTCTTCGTTACCACTTTAGCTTACTGTTACTGAGAACCAATTTGTATATTATGGGTTTCGCAATTTGAAGTTTATGCGGCGAATAGCCAGCAAACCGAGGGTTTTTGTAAAGCAAAAGAAGATCCTGTGCACCGTTTCTGGTTCTGATTTATGAAATTCATTAACCTGATTAGTACTCAAATTTGCGGTCGAAATATTTGTGCTGTGGTTTTTTCTTTTGTGCTTTCTTGGTTTCTTGTGTTAAGTCTAGAAATGTTGGGGATTGCTGACATGGGTTAGTTGACGGAATATCGATGCATGGGTTTGCAATCTTGGGTGTGTACTTCTTGTGGCAACCTTGTATTTGTTGACTAATAATGAAGTCCTTCTTGGATTATAAATAAAAACAAGGTTCAGTTGCGGGTGGGTTATGCATGGTAATTTGAAAATTTTTGCAAAGTTGAGTAAGACATTAGATCTCTGTATTTTGTAGGCTCTGGAAGTATCAGGGACTTGTGGGGATGTAGACTTTTGTTTGAGTTATATTGTGTTATTCGGCTCATGACCTCCTGGAGCATTGGCCACTTCGATCTTGGAAGATAAATAAATTAGATATTAGTTTAGTGTCTTGTTGAGGGTGATTTTTTACAAACTTCTCTAGGTTTGCAAGGTGCTAGTTGAAACTCTATTGAGCTCAAAATTGCTGTACTTCATTTCTCAAAGGCAAGATAGTTGAAGTCCTAGTATCTGTAGTTCGTGTTGTTTTCTTAATATCTAGAAATTGTTTGCATTGACAGCTGTGGCAGCTTTGGACATCTCGTCCGGCTGGTTTTGGATTATGTCTGGCTGCTTATAATCGGTTTCTAACTTTGTCTGCCTTGTTACCAGGGGTCGCCTCAAGTCACCGTGGTCCCGCAGGAAAAGAAAACAAGCCCTTTCTCCCCAGCAATGGAGAAGTCTGTTTACATCAGATGGAAAATTTCGTGATGGTGGTGTTAAGTTCTTGAAGAAAGTTCGCAGTAGAGTGGGTTATCATTTCAGTCAACCTGTTGCTTTATTTCAAGTATTTGTTTTACTACCATCGGAATATTTATATCTTATATCTATGATGTAGGGTGTGGATCCCAGCATTAGGGCAGAGGTCTGGCCATTCCTCCTTGGAGTGTAAGTATATCTTATCAAATTTTATTTTTGTGTTAAGATATATAACATTTATGTGATTTGGTAATTGACGTCTTTGTTAGAGGATTTGATTGTCCTCAATACCCATCTTCCGAAACATAGAAACTTATTGTTATTTTTTTCCAATTTTAAATTTTAAATCTTAAATGATGGTTGTTCCTTTTTTCCTTAACAGCTATGAGTTGAACAGTTCTAGAGAGGAAAGAGAGATTATAAGAACTCAGAAAAGGTATTTTGGACAAGCTATTCTCAAAATTTCAATGAAATGGTCCTTTGCTCCATATTACCATATATAAATTTATTCATGACTTCACCTTTTAGGCTTTCTACTGGATGACTCTTTTATGTCAATCTCTATATACAGGAAGGACTATGAGAAGCTCCGCAGAGAGTGCCGGAGGCTTCTCAAACACAGCAAAGGGAGTTTTAAGTTGAAAGACATTGGTGGAACTGGCTACAATGGAGACAGTGGAAGTGTCATTCAAGACACAGACACTTCAAGTTCTGAAGATGTGGTTAGTGCCAGGGAATCTCTTTCTAGTGAGGAAAGGAGTCCAGATGCTGAGTACTCGGACGATCCCTCCAGTGTATTGTTGGAAAGAGATGATAGTTCAAGACGAATCACAAATGCTGATGCCTCCACACTAAATTCTGAGTCATCTGACTCAGACTCCTCGGGAGACCCTGAAGTGATACAAGCGTACCCCAGTTCAGAAGGTAGGGAAGAGACTGATCCTGATGAGCAGCCTTCGGAAGGGAATATTTCTCCTGCAAGAACAGAAGTCCATTCAAAATTACGCACAACTGAAGATTTTGCTACTTGGCAGCGAATCATTCGCCTAGATGCTGTGCGTGCCAATTCTGAATGGATGCCATATTCTCCTTCTCAGGCTGCAGTATCAGAAGGTAGGGCACGCCGCTCTGCCAATGCTGTTGGTTTGAAGGATTATGATCATCTGGAGCCCTGTAGAATTTTCCACGCTGCACGACTAGTTGCCATTCTTGAAGCATATGCACTTTATGACCCTGAAATTGGCTACTGCCAGGGGATGAGTGATCTACTCTCTCCAATAATTGCTGTGATGACAGAGGATCATGAGGCATTCTGGTGTTTTGTGGGTTTTATGAAGAAGGCTCGGCATAATTTTAGGCTTGATGAGGTGGGGATTCGAAGGCAGCTGAATATTGTTTCCAAGATAATAAAATGCAAGGATTCTCACCTTTACAGGCACTTGGAGAAGCTTCAAGCTGAAGACTGCTTTTTTGTTTATAGGATGGTGGTGGTATTGTTTAGAAGGGAATTGACTTTTGAGCAGACACTTTGCCTCTGGGAGGTAGTATGGGCAGATCAGGCAGCCATTAGGGCTGGGATCGGAAAATCTGCATGGAGTAGGATAAGGCAACGAGCCCCGCCAACAGATGATCTGTTGCTCTATGCAATTGCAGCTTCAGTTCTGCAGAGGAGGAAGTTGATCATAGAGAAATATAGCAGTATGGATGAGATATTAAGGGAGTGCAACAGCATGGCTGGGCAACTTGATGTATGGAAACTATTAGATGATGCACATGACTTGGTGGTGACCCTGCATGATAAGATAAAGTCATCTTACTAGTTACGCATTGTGAGTGTTTAGTTGGTGGCTTCTTTATGTGCTTCAGTTCTTCTCTGTATCTTGGATCTCTGGATATTTCAAGTCTCTTTTTCCACCGCTTGAAATAAGCGATGTATAGGCTATATCGGTATTCAGGTGTATTTCTCGGATCCTTGAACTAAGTGATCTTGGCCGTGGGTATTTAAATTCTTTGAAAAGATTACTTAAGATTTTATTGTACTTCACTTTTTGGGTTACTGGGCATATTATCGAGACAGGCAGAGCCTCGTCTATTTAACAATGTACCATTTTGAAAAATTTATGGGGAATATTGAAATTAAGTTATATGATTACTACAAATAGTCTACAACTGCCTAATTTGCTCAAAAACAGGTTTATATTAAATTGAAGAGAAATGTTAGATGTACGAGAACTCCTATAAAAAGCCTTTATATAAAGTGTAGCGGTAGTTATCTCTCTATTAGTTTGTGAAAAAAATAAATAGAATATTAATATGCTAGTGGAAAAAAGAAATAGAAAATTGATGTAAAACTAGTGGTGTGACAACTGACAACCACCACATCATTTATACAAAAACTCTTTTTGTACCTCTAATATTACTTTAAATTGAAATGATGTGATTCCTAGCCAAGTATATTGCTGTTTATATAGGAGTATATAACCCTTTATATGATGTAATTAACTTCTATATTCATAATAACCCCGAGTTACCATGCAATGAAACAGTTTGTATGATTTTAGAGTTATTTTGATAAGAAGAAATATTATTTAATTTTTATATAATATAATATTATTATTACCATAAAGATTAAAACGTTACCAAATATAACTAAAACATAATTATTTCTGAACAAAATTGTGACCCTTTTTCAGCATTACAAATAAGAATAAAAAGATAAGTAATGTAGCAAGTGCAATAAACATAAAGACAATGGAGACTAAGCACGGAAGCACCCAATGCAAATGATGCAGAACTGATACCGAGCCTCCGTTCATAGTCTAATATAAATAAATATTATCCTGTAACCATTAACACAACTGTTCTAAGAACACATTCAGACACCATGATCTTTGATGGACCATACTACAACCACTACTCAATTTTGGCACACAAAAACACTGTAACGAAACTAAACAAACGATGACATTTTCCTAGAACTAAAGCAATGCAGATCACCAACTTGCCACTCTGAAATATTGACTGTTTATTGATAGTGCATTAGTCTACTCCTTCTTGGTGTAGTGTCTGACTGCGAAGGCTAAGCCAAGGATCAAGAGGGGTACGAGAAACTGTAAAATCTTAATCACAAACTCAGGAGTCTTGTCTTGATTGTATGTGGGTTGCTGTGGTGGGATGTATGCACGTTTCAGAGGAACGGTCGATGCATCAATATCACCGATGTAGTACTTCTCCATCATATCCCTAGCGGAATCGCTGTGACCCACATCTTCAAAATCATTTGTTGCATCCTTTCCTGCAAAAAGTTGCACAAAACTCACATACCAATCTCATATGAGGTATTTAAAATCAGGTCGAACAGATTTGGGAATTAATGACTTACCAGTAGCAGATAGCAAAACCTCATCCCCACCAGGATGATCATCCATGAATGGTGTCACATCATACACCTAAAAGATGAAAACTTAATTAAATGTGAGAATAAACTAGAATTATTGTACTAAAAGCATTTAAATTGTTGTCTTTTTCTTCCAATGACTAAAATGTAACATAAAAAACATTGTCCTTGTGAGCACACATTAAACTCACTGATATACAAACATTTTGATAATGTCAATGCATTTGGTTTACAAGACGAAGAAACATACTTTTCTTATGCTTGATATCATAAAATTTTTAGATTTTTGTAATTTTGACATGTGTCTGCATTAAGACCACTGGCAAACATATATTTAACCCAGGCAGCAAATGATGGAGAGTGAATCAATAGTCATTTTATAATTGAATGTTATCTGGCAAGATTATTCAGGGTGAAGAGGATGCTTACAGTCTCCCCTCAAAATTATTTACAAACTACGGAGCTATTACTATGGATTTTGAAACGATCTTACAGGATGCAAAATTCATAGTTGGATGGACTGCAACTCTTTTCCTATGCCAAATAGTTAATATTTTATACTTTCTAAACGGTCACTACTACAACTATATTTACAAACACCTGTATCCAAACAATCTAAGCTCTCCTTAGAGTTCATAAACAGTTTAAGCTGTCAAACATAACTGTCTCTTTAAAATCCATAAGCAGTTGAAATTATCTAATACCTCATTTTATTCTCTTCATTTCAGACTGAAACTTTAGCACCTTCTGAACTCAAACCATGTAGATCACCATATTCTTTCAATAACTATTCGAAGAATAAAACTCCAGTTGGAAAAAAAAGACCAAACATCTAATCGGTAATTTCAGCAGTAGCACATTTCTTTCAAAATAATCCACATCTCCACGATTTTCAGAAAAGTTTAAAAGTGTAGACCACAATCCAGTCATAAACATAATAATATAACTCCACAAAAATCACATAGCTTTATTATTCATTCTTCCAATCTACATAATATCTCAGAAATCCTAGATTTAAACCAACCATTTTATAACTTTTATGTGACGAATATCAATTGCAGTAAATCTGAACCATTTTGGAGAACATTTATTAATGGATTATTAAAGGTCCTTAAAAGATAAGCTTCCACAATATCCCATAAATTTTATTCGCTCAATCCCCTTCAAATATTTTTATAAATTCGAAATGCTACGGAAAATGATTACAAATAGTTTATTAGTAACAATCCAGGATCATAAATCAATCAATCAACAATAATCTGATTCAACGCAACAAGTCAGAGGCCAAACAAGTATAATCACAAATAAAATTAAAAAAACCAAGGAAAAAGGAAAAGTAAATAAAATAAAATGATTCAAATATAAAGATTTGACCTTGCCAGAAATAATAAGCCAACAATCCTTGGTTTTGTTGTGCTTTGCGACCTCTTCAAATGTTTGAATCTTTGGATCTGAAGCCATTCTTCGCTACTTCTAAACACAACACCACCACAAACAAAATACCCACAAAAAATTTTAAATCTTTATGTTCGAAATCGATCTAAAACATGGAATAAAAATCACTATAACACCCAAAAAAAAAAACAAAAAAAAAAAAAAAACCTGTACTCTGGAAGAGAAAAGGGATGAAATTTATATGAAAAAGAGAGATTCTGAATTGAAATCAAACAAAGTGAAGAATCTATTATTCACTTACGTGTGGTAAGCACAAGAATTTGGTCTATTTCTCTCTTTGTTGTTGTCAAAGCCTGTCAAGCTCAAACAAAACAACACTCGTTGGGATCTTCTTGTTTTGTACAAAACTCAGTTAGAGTACAACTCTTATATCACATATTATGACCATTCAGTCCTGAGAAGTTTGAGCCGTCTTCAGAAAAAAAGGGTTGCTTAGTTAAGGGTATTTATGTCTTATGATACAAATTAAATTACATTTGCCATTACCTCAACCTGCCTTTCTTGGCCCATAAAAATTGCAGAAATTCGAGATTTTGGATTTTGGACCATAAAAATATTGAGTATTTTCACATCTTAAATAGGAAGTTTTTTATTCAAAATGGGATATTTTCACATCTTAAATAGCAAATTTATTTTTTCTTTTTTTTAATTCAAAATGGGATTTTTTCTTTTGCAACAATACTCTTTATTTTGAAGAGCTTCCTTCACATAAATAAAGAGCATCTTCATTAATTTTTAAATATAAAGAACACAATTTTTATTCAAATCCAATAGACTCTTTAAATTTAATAAAGATGCTCTTTATTTTTAAGAAAGACAATTAATGAGAGAGAAAATTAATAAATAAAATGCATAAGAACTTGTAGTTTATTAATTAAAATTAGGATAGAGAATGAAATTTGACTATCTAAATGTGGATAGTCAAACTCACTCTCTAATTTATATTTTAAAGATAAAGAGTATGTTGGACTCTTGTTTTTATGGATAGACTCTTTATAATAAAGAGTTTGTGTCATATAAAGAGTTATTTGGAAATGCTTTTACAACTCTATCCCACAAACTTTTTCTTAGTGTTCTTGACCTTTTTTTTTTTGTTAGGTGTTCGAGTCAGCTTACGTGTACCTTAATTAATTATTAAAATCCATTAAACACTATACAAGCTTAAAAGACCAAGTAAGTCACAATGTTATTGTGATAGTTAGCCCTAAAGTTTGAATTTAGGAATTCAAAGAAGGCAACAAACCTCTTTGATCGGCAGGCCAATCCCTTGTGGTTGTTCTTGACCTATTTTCTTAATATTGTATCGATAAATCTGATATATTGACGAAATGTACACTTAAGAAATTACTTAAGTTGTTAAAAAAGTGATTCAACAACATTAACGTTAGAGATTTGATAGGATTGAAGTTTTTATATTCTATAGCACTGGGACAAAGGAACAAACCCCAAACCGCTGGGATGAAAGTTTAAATATCCCCATCTTGAATACCTATGCTAATTTTGTGCCACTAGATCGGCCTTGCCTTACTTGTGTGTTTGCTTATTATTTTTGGGTTGATCAACCGTACAATGGCCTTTTCTCTGTAAATCTTTAACATCAAATTCAACCACCCACTGTGGGCCGTGGTGAGGGAGTGAGAGTGTTGGTCTAAAGATCAGGAGATCTTGAGTTCGTGTTGTATCAAGTGGGTACCAGCCATTACCTTAAAAAAAAAAAAAAAAAAAAAGGCAAATTTGATACGTTAGAGAACTCATTTTAAGTCTTTTTGAATGATTAATTTAACCAAAACTTTTAGGGTCCATGTAATTTTCACAAACTTTTTAAGTCTTCAATAAATTCCACAAGCTATTATAATTTAAGCAAAAGCGTGTGTAACTAGTGTTGTTTTGGCGGGGCCTAGTGGCTGAAAATTTAGAAAATGGCGTGGAAAAAAAAAACCCCATCACACAAGTTAAATAAAATATTGTGCCCACCACACTCACCAACAACCTCAACTCAGCTCAATTATTCAGTGTCTTCTTCATTCTGTGTTATTTGTTGGTTCCTCAACTTTTTTAAAATTCATGTTTTGTGCGAGACATTGTATAGAAAAAAGAATATCATTTTAAGTATTACCAAAGTGTTGGATACAAATTAACAAGGTCTACAGGCCGAAACAATCCAAATAAGAACGAAAAGTAATTTTAGCACCCCCATCAAAATTGATCAGTATTCCCCACTTTTAAGTGTTTTTTTTAACAATTTTAACCTTAATGAAAATGATTAAAAATGACATAATAGTTTCTAAATACACCTTAACTATAAATCTTTTAAATCATTGAAAATTTTTTTTAATTTCAAATATTTCTTTGTTCAATGAAAATATATTACTAAAGTTATGGAGAAAGTAATCACACACAATAGGATATTCTGTGAGAGGGGGTTTAGAAGATATTTTCATTCATGTTCTAAGTTAGTTGGGTATCTTTTATAGGTTAGAACACAGTTTTTAATACACAAAATTGAAGTCAAAAGACAATCCTGTAGACCTTACAGACTTTCTCTCAAGTTGTTGTCTGAGACAACTTGCTGACCAAAACATTGTTTTCCTAATTTTCTACAATTTGGGAATTTTATTTTTTTATCACTAAACTTCGACTTCAACATTACTATTCTGATCACTTGGAACATTTCTCAAACATACTTGCTTTCATTATGATAATCGAACTCAGAGTTTAACTGCCAGGGGGAGCTTTTCGAAACGGAAAAGAGGTTTTGTTGAAGAAAGGGGAATAGATTTTGGTGAGAGTAACTTTCGGGGGATTACTGATAGAATCAAGGATTTGGTTTGGAAAGAATTTTGTAAGGAACCTGAATTTGTAGCAATAGAATCGGTGGTGATGGAATTCTATGCTACTGTCCCTAAGAGCAAGAAAGGAAAGACAAGAATTATGGGAGTGGAAGTAGCCTTTGATGCAGCCACGATCAATACATTCTACGCGTTAGAAAAGGTAAAAAAGGATGAATACCTGCAGAATGTAGATTATGATGAGGTACTAAAGAAGTTGGCCGGTAGTAATGCTAGTTGGAAAATCACCAGAAGTCAAAAGAGGTCATTTGAGAGTAAGCATTTGTTGGGTCTTCCTCGGATGTGGTAGTATTTTGTATGTTCTAGGCTGATGCCACTATTGACGCCGACCGAGCGGTATTGATGTATGCCATTGATACAAGGAAGAAGATGAATGTTGGCCGCATTATCTTTGATGGAAGCTGTTTCCTCATCTTATCACAGCTTTGTGCATAAGAGCAGGGGTACCATTCACTTCCAATGAAAAGGTGGATTCAGCCAGCACCACTTTTAACGATTGCATTTTTGCAAAATCTCACTAGCGGAGCAAGCTCCTCAAGATCAAATAAGAAAGTTACTCTCTCAAAAGTTTTAACCAAAGACCAATTGAAAAAGCTAGTTGAAGAAGTACTCTATTTGAAAGAATATCAGCGTCGGAGTATAGAATGAATAAGCCGCCGGTTGAAGACCATGCATGAAATGCAACAGCGACAATGTATCTTCAATGGGGTTGATCCTTCACCATTCCCTTGGGAAGAATTTGAATACAAGCCAACTGCTGACGAAGATGATGACACCATGAGAAACTGAAATGCTGAACTTTTGTTTTAATTATATTTGCTTTTGTTATTTCTTTTCATTTGTTCTTTGACTTTATTTTCAATTACTACTTTTAGTTGTGTGTTTCATTTTCGGAACTCTAATTTTATTTTTTGTGATTTGACATTTCCCTATTAATTAATAATGTGTGTTTTATGTGGTGCACCGTGAGTTTTTTTATTTTGAAAGACTTTTATAATGATGAAGATTACAAACGGATGTCGGACATTTGAGCGTAGATGCACTTCATGGATCACAGAGGGGAGTATTGTTTAAATCATTTCATTTTTCTCCATCCTTTGTTCATTTAAGACAATGCCATTTTCAGTTAGGAAAAATTTTGAAAATTTTTCTTGTGTGGTTTTTTATTTTATTTTATTTTTTTAAAGTTAGTCTGCGATGTGCTTAGTGCTTTTTGTTTATGTTTGTTTTGAGTTTTAATTGTGTTGTCCATGATGATATCCTAATTATTGGAAATTTTATTTTAGGAAAATATGATGTATTGCTTTGAGTTGAGTTTGGGTTGACTTTATTTTAGCTAGAAGTTCCTTAAATAGTTCAACATGATGTTCATATATTTAACATACTTAGAGACATTTTATGTGAATGTGTGAAATCTTGTTGATTTTGATGAATTCTAGAACCTATTTGAGAATTGCTTGAGGCGAAATTCTAGTTTGGTGTTGTTAAGGATATGATTTAGACATTCTTCTTGGAATGTTTGAGCCTTTCTAGCTAACTCTGTTTTAAATTGTCCATAGTCACTCCTTTTGAGCCTTTAAATGTATTGCCTTAATTTTCTTTTGCAGCCTAAAATTTTTTCAATCCCTTTTACCCTAAACACTTTATTATACCCTTTAGGAGAATTTCGAACCATATGTTGACATAAAAAGCATTGAAGTTGTATGACTAAGTGATCGTTGGGAGAATCATAAGTTTGGGGGTTATAAAAATTTAGCATTTGTTGTAAATATTGCTTTACTTTGCTTTGAAGAAAAAAAATGTAATTAGTTCATTTCAGTATAAGAATCACAAATAAGAAATGCATAATTTTGGGGGTTGTGAAGAGTGTGTGATATGGTTTCTAGGTTGATAAATAAAGGAAGGTCATGACTTGAAGTAACTCTTTGTGTTTGAATGAGGGAAACTGAGTTTTTTTTACTTTGCAATCCCTATCCTTTCTTTGGAGCCTACTACCTTAACCTAATGTTACAACCTTAATAAAGACCTTTTGATCCTTAGCAATGTTAAGTGTACATTAGTGGAGAGTAATTCGAAAATCAGGCTTATGGAGTTTGTTAATTTCTTAAAGATTTTTGCTTGTTTGCATAGAATAATCTGAGAAGTTGAATGATGGATTGAATTTGGGATTACTTACTTGGGGAATTAATAGAGGAATATAGTTAATTTGCAAACTTGCCTTTTTGGAATATAGTATTTTTTCTTGAATAATGTTGCTGACAATTTTTTAGACTTGCATTGTGATTCAATCTAGCTAGGTATCCTTATTTTTGTTTTGATTTATATTTCTTTCTTGCTTGAGGACCCGCAAATCCTAAGTTTAGGGGTATTTGACAATCTTACTTTTTATAGTAATTTTGCATTAGTTTTTAATAGTATTTAGAGTACTTTTCATTCATTTTGGGCTCCATTGCTACTTAATTCATTTTGTTTTCCTTTGCAGATCTAACGTTGAATTGGAGCAGAAACGATGACTTTGAACTTGTCAATCCTAGGATGACTTGAA